TTCCTTTTTAATAAATTTACAGACATTTCTAAAATTCTGTTTTCACTTTGTCATTATGGGGTACCGAGTGTAGATTAATGAGAAAAAAAAAATGTATTTGAACGATTGTAGTATCAGGCTGCAACATAACAAAATAGAAGAAAGTGAAGGGGGTCTGAATACGTTCCGAAAGCACTGTCTATAGATTCTAATTACTAGTCACTGAGATGGGCAGCCATATAAATTATTTGAATAAATAAATAAATCAGATCCTTATGTTTGTATTGTTAGTTTGCAGCTTTTTACACATATAGCGATTAACCTTGTAAAGCTAAACATATGTGTGTTCTTATGATGTAGACACTGCCTACCCCTTCCCATTTGGGAGAACTTTGAATTCTTCATTGTTGCTACTTGACTACTGATATATAGGATTCTTTAACTAGAATTGCTTGATAATAAATGGACAGCATTTTCCTTGTTATAGAGTTTCCTCTGGAATCATGTAACTGTTATATTTGCAGTTCTGCCCTGTGGAGGTCAAGGGTTTTGCAATTGACTTATAATTACAGGGTTATTAGTTCACCCCAGAAGAAAAAAAAACTTCTCTCGTTCTCTCTCTCTCTTCTTCCAGATGATATTAACTCCCGGCAACTGCCTGAACTAGTCCCTGCAGTTTTCTTGACAAGGTTTTTTGGAAGTCGTTTGTCATTGCCTGCTTCTTCCTAGGGCTGAGAGAGAGTGTCACCCATCTGGCTTCATGCCTAAGGTGGGACCAGAACTCATGGTCTCTGGTTTTAGCCTGGTACCTGAACCACTACACCAAACTGGCTCTCAAATTGTTATTGTTGTTTGTGCCTTCAAGTCAGTCTTGACTCCTGGCAATTGCTTGGATAAGTTCCTGCAGTTTTCTTGGCAGAGAGAGACTGGCCCAAGGTCACCTAGCTGGTTTCCTGCCTAAGGCAGGACTAGAACTCACAGTCTCCTGGTTTCTAGCCTGATACCTTAACCACTACACCAAAGTAGCTCTCCATATATATTTGCTGCAATAAATTTACTTATTTATGAAATCTATATGCCTGCCCATCTCACATACATGACACTAGGTGGTTAACAATTTAAAATAAAATAAAAAAGTCTACAGCAGACTTAAACTTGCAACTGAGCACTGTTATATCTTCTGTGCAAGAAACAAATTTTGTTTGTAATAACTATATAGTAAAAATATCACCCCTTCCTCTGTCCTTGTTTTGTAAATGCTTTCTACCAGCCTTATACTACCATCATTTCTCTATTATAAGTACGTATCTAATGGGAAGATGAGTAGTATTGCATTTCTTAGCTAAGAGGCCAGAATTGTGAATATGGTAAGTATTTATACAGCAAATTTCAGTGGACAAAGGAATATTATTGGTTTCTGACTACAATTACTGTACTGTATTACCTCAAAGCCCTATATTACAAAATAAATTGATTTTCCAAGGGCAGAAAGAAAAATAATATGAAGGCAACTAGCTTCAAGCTACATTGATGACTGAAATACATTATGCTTCATGATGTGACAGCTTCTTCAGTTAATACAATTCAACACTTTCTTCCTAGAATACTCAAAAAGCCTTTACTTAGAAGGTATACTTTTTAAAAAATAACTGTTTCATCCTCTAATGAAATGGTCTCATGAAAAACACATTCCATGAAGTAGAATTATTCATCTTCAGAAGATGTTTCTATCATTAGGGCACAAATGGAAATATTAGATAATGAAATCCTCAAACGTATTGCTACATATTATATTACAGTTGAATTACAAGTATCTTATAGCAAATATGTACCAGGAAAGGAAGCACAATAACAGATCTGGGGTAGGTATAGCAAAATTACTTCCCACTGACACTAATGGGGGGCAGTGGGAGAACAAACAACAGAATAAAATCATTTTCTCTCTTCCTCCTTGCATCCTGCTAGCATGGATCTCCATGAAGCAATCTTTGCCCTTGGTTCTCTGTGCTAGTAGTGGTATAGCTGCTTGGTTAAAATGCCAAACACTATTTTTTTTTTAATTTTACCAAATTATGTAAGAAATACATAAAATCGCATCTCTTCTAATGAAAATATTTTCCTTCACGCTGAGAGCTTGCCAAGATTCGGTTCTACTGTCTGCTTAAAATCTTCCAATAAGTAATCTTGTTTATATTTCAGGGACAAACATACAAAAATATTCAAGTGACAGCCACCTACTAAATTCCAATTCCATTTCACATTATGGGTCCATAGTGGAACCTTTCAAGGGAATTCTGGCAAAAGTTTGAAAAATATTAGAATTGCAATTTGCTATTTTAAAATTATAAAAATGACCTAGTATCAGTAGACAGAAAAATAGAAGCAGTTCATCCAACACCTGTTATAAATAGTTTTTAAACAACTCTTGACCACTCTTCTAAGGCCAGGAAGCCTTTTGAGATTGTTGAGATAGTGATGTTTATGTTATAGCAGCTGGTCTCTATTCCCACATACATTTCTCTTGTTCAAGCTTAGAAAGAAGCTAGTCAGCCAGTAGAGGAATGAAAGTGTTTCACAAGGATGACACCGCAACCAAGAATTTACAATGACTTGCCTTATTTTGAAAGGGAACTTGAAACACGCCCTCTTCCAGAGACATGGACATACATGTGGTTCTTCTGAGAGAAAGCCTTTTAAGTTAGCAAGTTCAAACTACTTTCACCTTTAAAGTACAATGTCAGTACATTACTTTGAATTACATCCAGAAACTAATTGGGAAAAAATTAAAATGTTTGAAAATGTATGTTAAATGTTTCCAACAAGTGATGCTGGCATACTGTATTCATTGCTCAGCTTAACTGAAATGTCCAGGCAACTGAAGAACCAACTTCAAACCCTCAGCCTAGAATTCACAAAGTATACACAACAGAGATTTTAAAACACACACACAAGTTCATGCAGTTTAGAAAGTTAAATTTTAACAAAAAACAAAAGCAAAACATTTAAGGGTTCACAACCTTACTAATTTTAGTAAGCTGATAAGCAATGTATACATTACTTTGGAAGAGTTGATTTAAAAAATGTTTCCTATTTTGAAGTCATCTAATTAACTTAATTAGCATTGTATCCATTTCTATTATTAGCAAACATAGAGAAACATATTTTGTTGGAGAAAATATGAAGAACCCAGTTTGCAGTGTCATTTATAACTTGGCTTTCTCAGTTACTCTCACAATTAGCATAAGTTAATTTGGCTGATGCAGAGTATATTAATAGCAATGCACAAGTAACAATGGCTGGTGTGGGTCTTCCGGGCTGTGTGGCCGTGTTCTAGAAGTTTTGTTTCCTAACACAAGTAACAAGTAACAAGTTTGTAATATGCATGTTTCCTCGCTAGGAATACTAACTTTATCTAAACCATTGAACATTTTTCACTTGTTCACAAAACAGTGCGACCACCCAATTATACAATGTAGTCAGACTGCACTCCTACATAATTTAAATTTTCCTGAATTCACGGAGACTTTATTCTACGCAGACGTGGAATTTTGTTCAGCAGTTACATCTCTGAAAGTGTATTCAATCAGAATAAAAATAGAAGTTGGCTTTTCATTTGAGCAAAAGTGTATTATCTGAGTCAGAATGGCATGAACAGGGATCAGCTTGATCGACATTCTGGAGGCTGGGGAATTATTAAATTAGTAACACGTCCTCATATGCTGTGTAAATAGTGCAGTTTGATACACATTCGCCCTACTTCTTTGGATCAAACGAGACGAGGGTTTTAACAGTACCCAGATTTATACTGAGGCGTTTTAATTCATCAACATTAATTTTCGTTCAGCGAAATGCATCAGGCACACACAGCCAAGCTTCCCGCTTCCCGCCCCCAGCCCCCACTTACCATAAACCAGCTTTTTCATCTCGTGGTATCTGGCCCAGAGATAGGACTTCGTATCGATCCCTTCGATGGAGCTGGGTTGGTGGCTGCCTAAGGAAGCAGCTGCCATTATCTCTGCCACGGCAGGGCCCGCGTCGGCGGCTCTCTCCGCTTGGCCGCCGATCGCAGAGAAGACCGGCGGCGGGAGACAATGCCCCGCAGACTGCGGCTGATGGGTCCACTGCTGCCTGCATCCCACCCGCCCTGCTCCAGCGTCGCTGCCTGTATAATAGCAGCAGCTGCTGTGGCTGGAAACAGGG